GGTTATTAAAGAAAAAACTGATTTTTAAATTTCAGTATCAAGATTCGCGTTTGCTGTGCAGTTTTAATCGCCCCCCTCCCCTTAGCATGGCGAGGCAGACAGAATAATATCCCCATTTCACATTTCCTCCCCTAGAGCTGCCGGGTGCCAAGTCTCAGCCAAAAACCCATTCAAGGGGCTGTTCCCGTCCGCAGCATTTTCTTGCTGCTGATAAGGAAGGAAACCTCGCCCTGGAAAACATGACCAAGTTTTTCCGTTTTGTAATTATTATATACATGATAATACTAATAACAGAGATAAGGTGGGCAAAGAAAAGTCAACCATCAGCTAAGGATTCTTTGCTGCTTTTTAGTAAAAATGTATTTCCTTCCAGGGGAAGGAATTGTCCGGATCCTGGCATTGAATGCGTGGCAGCAGGCGTCCTGATCCGGTTGCAGTGTGTGTGAGACCACCCATCCCACCGAGGCAGCCTGGGGAAGAGCCTCCCCAGAGCCTTTTATAGTCAGCAACTGTCTTCTCTGTCAGACCTGAGTTTATGATACCTATAAGTCATGTCACCTAAAGGAAGCAGACGGGCCCTTTGGGCTGAGCGGGAATATGAGAGGAGAGGGGGATGGCCTTCTTTTTCCTAGTAGTATTTAGAGAATGCTATCTGAGTAGCCTGCTCCTTTGTTTATTGAAAAGGGATTGCCTTCTAAGTCCTCGAGTTTTCGCTGAGACCTGAGCCATTCCAGGTGTTCAAGGGAGGTGGCAGAGCCTGGTGGTGCAGAGTTCTGGATCAGAGAGCCTGGGTTCCAAGGCCAGATGTAACACTTAATAACAGTACCTTCCACCTTCATTGATTCAGGTGGAAATGGGAACAGTGATAGTACCTATCTAATAAGAATTAAATGATCCACCTTAGAAAACATTCCATATGCATTAAAAAGAATGTTTGGTATTGGGTGGAATGTTCTGTAAATGTCAATTAGGTCAGGTTGTTCCATGGTGTTATTGAAATCTACATGTTTACTGGTTTCTGGTTTCTTCCTACTTGTCCTATAGGTAATTGAAAACAGTACCGAAATTTCTGACTATAATTGTGCATTTATCTGTTTTTCCTTGCGGTGAGTTTTTGCTTCAGGCATTGTGAAGCCCTGAACATTTAGGATTATCATGTCCTCTTGATTAATTGACACCTTTATCATTATAAAGTTACCATCTTTATCACTGATAGTACTAGTTGCTTTGAAATACACTGTCTGATAACAATATAGCCATTCCAGCTCTCCTATCATTTTCCGTCCTGTCACTTTAAACAGATTTGTGTTTTATATTTAAAGTGTGTTTCTTGTAGTCATCATACAATTGGGCCTTCCTTGCTTTTTATATGCAATCAAACAATCCCTGCCTTTTAATTGGGCTGTTTAGACCATTTATATTCAATGTGATTATGCATATGATTAAATCTATCATCTTTGTTTGTTTTCTATCTGTCCCATCTGTTCTTTATTCTTTTTTCCATTTTTCTGCCTTTGTTTAGATTTATTGAATATTTTTTGTGATTCCATTTATTTCCATTGCTAGCTTATTAGCTATAACTGTTATTTTAGTGGTTGCTTTAGGGTTTACAGTAAACATCTTTGATTTATCACACTCTTCCTTCAAGTAATAGTACACCATTTCATGTATACTATAAAAACCTCAGAACTGTACACTTTCATTACTCCTCTCCTGATCTTTTTTGCTATTGTCATCTATTTTATATTACTGCATTTTAAACCCCACACTACATTGATGTTACTTTTTGTTTAATAGTCAGTTAGCTTTTAAAGAGATATATTTAATAAGAAAAAATTACTATATTTACCCATGTACTTACCACTCCTGGTGCTGTTTGTTCATTCTTTCATGTAGCTCTAGATTCCAGCTGGTATCATGTTCCTTCCCCCTGAAGGACTTTCTCTAGTATTTCCTGTAGTGCAGTTCTGCTGGTGATAAATTCTTTCACTTTTGTGTGTTTAAAAAAGTCTTTATTTCACCTTTGCTTTTGAAAGATACTTTTTTTGTTGGGTGGAGGATTCTAGGTAAACAAGTTTTTATTTTTCTTTCTGTGCTTTAAAGATGCTACTCCACTGTCTTCTTGCTTGCATTGTCTCCAGTGAGAAATCGCTATGTATTTGTATGGGTTCCTCTAGATGAGCCATATATTTTTCTTCTGTATGTGCTTAAGAATTTTCTTATTGTCACTGTTTTTGAGCAATCTGATTATATGTGCCTTGGTGTGGTTTCCTTCATATTTTTTGTACTTAGAGATTGTCAAGCTTCTTGTAGTTGAGTGTATGTTTTTCATCAAATCTGGAAATTTTTGGCCTTTATTTCCTCAAATATTTTTACCTTCTTTCCTTTGGGGACCCCAGTTCACATAGAAGAGTCCACTTGAAATGATTCTGACTCACTGATGCTCTGTTAATTTTTTTTAATTGTTATTTTCTTTTCTCATTGCATTTCATTTTGATAGTTTCCGTAACTATTTCTTCAAGTTCACTAATCTTTTCTTCTCCACTGTCTATCGTGTCAATTCTCTTATTCACTGTAGTTTTCATCTCAAACAATATACTTTTCTCTAGAAGTTGGATTTGAATCTTTTATATCTCCCAGGTCTCATTTTAAGTGTAGGAATATAACAACTGATTTAATGCCATTGATTGGTAATCCTAACATCTCTGTCAGTTTTGTGTCACTTTCAATTGAACCTTCTTATGGGTTCTATTTTTCTGCTTCCTTCCAGGCCTCGTCATCTTTAATTGGATACCAGACATTGTGAATTTTACCTTGCGCAGTACTACATACAGGTATTTTTGTATTCCTCTAAATATTCTTGAGCTTCGTTCTGGGACAAAGTTAAGTATTTGGAAACAATTTGATCTTTTGGGGACTTACTTTTAAAACTTGTTAGATTAGACCAAAGAAGTATTCCGTCTAGGACAAAGTATTCCCCACTGCTGAGAAAAAAGCCTTCTGTGTTCTCTACCCAGTACTCTGTGAATCATGAGGTTTTTCGGTCTGGTTGATGGAGACAGACCTATCCCCACCCTCGTGTGAGTATAGAAACCGTCACCTTTAATCCTTTCAAGTATTTTTTTCTTGGTCTTTGGGTAGTTTCCTCACTTGCATATGTGGGTCAGTCTTCAGCTGAATATACTCTGGAGTTTTCTGTCTACATAGCATCTTCAGGTATTCTCTCCTGCAAACTCCAGCTGTCTGGGTCTCCCTGTACTTTCAGCTCCATCTCCTCAGCTCAGCCGGCCTCTAGGCTCCTCCTCATTTGCATAACCATACACCTTGACCTAAGAAGTCTCTGGAGGTAGTAAACTGAGGCAATTATAGGACTCATAGGGCTCACTTCATTTGTTATCCATCTCTCTGCAACCATGGTCTCAAGAATAAAATGAAAGAACGCTTTTGCCCAGCTGTGTGTGGCTCAGCGGTTGAACGTCTGCCTGGGATTCAGGAGATCGTGGTTCGATTCCCTGTCAGGGCACATGCCCGGGTTTTGGGCTGGATCCCCAGTTGGAGTCATGCAGGAGGCAGCCGATCAATGACAACTCTCTCATCCCTGATGTTTCTATCTCTCTCCCTCTCCCTTCCTCTCTCTGAAGTCAATAAAGATATATTTTTTTAAAAAGAAAGAATGTTTTTAACTCATTTGGCCCAGCGCCTGGCAATGCG